CGCTCAACTCACATGTTGATTTTTATGGAGGGAGGAAACCGGAGAACCCGGAGAAAACCCTCGTAGCATAGGAGAGAACAACACATCAAACAAACTCAATTCACATGTGGCGACCGCAGGGCTCGAACCAGCGACCCGACCCGTTGGACTCACAGCGGTGAAAGACGACGTGTTTGCCGCGAACGCCACCCATGCTACCCACACGCCACCCATGCTACCCACAACGCCACCCATGCTACCCACAAGAATCAATTGTGAAAATATTGTGTAAAGGCTTATAAGCACTTTTAGTAAAGGCCTATAAGGAGAGTATTAAGTGGATAGCCTTTTATTCACACAGAAATTATGGAAGTATGCCACTGGTTTCTTTTCTGATTTTAGTGATTAATTTCCAACATTATCCATTCAGAGTCCAGTGCTGCAGTATGCGACTTCTTCGTGAATAACACTTGTAGCAAAGGTGCGTATTGTCCATTCCGCCACACGTCRGGTGAAAAGACAGTCGTCTGCAAGCACTGGTTGAGAGGTTTGTGCAAGAAGGGAGACCAGTGTGAGTTTCTTCACCAATATGAYATGACCAAGATGCCTGAGTGTTATTTCTACTCAAAATTTGGTAAGTTWTGGTATTCTATTTATAATAAATATTTTTGATCCAAGTTAACCCTGTTTAACCCAGTTCTATTCACAGTCAATATTAATATGGACACCTCACTGCGTTACAGACTCTTATTATGTGACACACTCAATTTCTCGTGTATTTCTACCATTTTTCAAGTGCAATTACAGCGTAATAATACATGGTCTGTGAACCGGTTTTGAAACAGTTTTTTTGCTGATGTCAGCATTTCCTTTGTGCAGCTCACGTCAGTGGTTTGAGCTTGTGTCTTCCAAGTTTGCTTGTTTACAATAAAAATGGATTGTTTTTCATGCACTCTTTCYCAGTTTTTTCTTTGGCCGCTCTCACTCTTAAAATTGTCTGGCTGTAATACACAACTAGCAGTGTAATAACCTCTATTTATGTCCCATTGAAGTTGTATTTCCTCTCACTAACATGGACAGCAAGCTATTTTAGACACTTGCCGTTATCCTGGYTAGTGATATGCATACATGTAAACCCACTCTTATGTATTTATWTAGGAGAATGCAGCAACAAAGAGTGTCAGTATCTGCATATAGATCCACAGTCAAAGATCAAAGACTGTCCTTGGTATGACAGAGGCTTCTGTAAACATGGTATGTAACACTACTTTAAATTGATTAATGTGAATAGGAAGGTGGCAGTGAATATTCACTTCTGTTTGGCCTGTGGGTTGGGTCTGGGTTTTGAGTCCTTGGGACACCTGAATTTATTTGATGTGTCATTGTCTCCCCTTCCACTAGGGTTTTTCCCTATGCTTTCCACTTTTACTTACTCCAAATTAACATCAGGGTTGAGATTTGCATGCATAAATGTAAAATTTATTGGTATTCTGGGTGAGAAAGTATTCATGCTGATATTTTTTTAACCCCCTTCACAGAGGGATTATCACCCCRGCCTGCTCTCAGTCTGACCTCTAGCTCAGCTGGTAGAGCATCGGTAGTACAATTCCRAAGGTCGTGGGTTCGATTCCCAGCGAGGTCGGAAATTAATTTTTCCGAACTTAATTCCAAGGGTCTTTCGCCCGGAATAACCTCGTTCCCAAGCACTATAACTTATCTATATTTCTATATCTTCATGTATTTCATAAGTGCTACGCGGTCCACATATTCTCATCAGAGGGATTATAGTATAATTAGATGGTGGATAAATAGGATCGGCTAATATTTCTACTATGTTATTATTCTTAATTTTTGATCCTTTATTGATTAGATTTTTAATRATTATGTTTTGCAGGTCCTCATTGTCGTCATCGTCATGTTCGTCGGGTATTGTGCATTAACTACTTGTGTGGGTTTTGTCCTGAAGGTCCAAAATGTAAACACAAACAGTAAGTATCGTAAGCAGTTTTACTATACCTTTGTGTTTTTTTTTTGTTGGAGATGGCAATCAGGTACAGCATTTTCTAAATTCAATGTCTTTTTTTAATACTCAAGTCCAAGGTTTGAGCTTCCAATAGTCAAGGATGAAGGAGTTGAGAAAAAACTAAACATWACTTGTCACAGCTGTGGTCAGCCTGGTCATAAAGCATCAATGTGTCCTCAGAACCAAATGAAAGAACACAAGGTTGGTARAACTATAGAGCTTTTAATAAAGTGCACGTACCATGTACTAGTAAATTAAGTTGGAATGCTGGCAGTGGACACTTGGCACTGACAGAAGACAGCACTGACAGTAGACGGCACTGACAGTAGACTGTGGCTGACAGAAGAAGGCACTGATGTACTAGACACTAGACACTGGAAACTGTGCTGGGGTATTTAGTATAGACAGTAGGGTTTCGACAGTAGATGCTGAGGTTGTGCAAGGATGTTGGTCACTTAGGAAAGAAGGTTGGAAACAGTAGATGGACACTTTGGGTTGGGTACATAAAAAAGACTATGCACTTGACAATTAAAGTAGGCACCCTCCTTAAATAAAGTTTATTGTATTGTATTGTATGGTATTGTAAGAAGGGGTGAGCTGGATACTGGAGATGCCCACTGAAAGTAATATTTTGAAGAGTGCACCCAAGCTACTGAAACAGTGACTCTCAGATTGGCATAATTTCTTTATCTTTTGTATTACACGTACCATGCATTCTTACTGCTTTTTTTTTCTGTTTTCTTCCAGCCCAATACATACATACAACTGAACCCAAATCATACTACCGATCAACAAGTGTTTGGCAGAAGACCACTAGAGACTGTTACATGCTTTAAGGTACTGTTCACCTTCCATTTATTCTTGCAAAGTCATGTAGTATTTGAGAAGTGTTTCTATCTTGG